GAGTTGAAACAGATTTTTCACTTCTCTTAATCTTCATTAAGGGAAAAATACTGCACTTCTAAATATGTACACTGCAAAGATAGATTCTCTCGTTTATTAACGGAACTACTACTAGATGAAAAACCACAGATTAGCCCCAACACATTAATAGAGATTTCAGTACTCGACTATCACCAAGACACATGTCATCTAGAAAAAAATATGAATCAAGAAATATTGGAATTAGATGAATCTATAAATCAAATGTATCAAACAGACATCTACAGGACATTACACTCAAATGCAAGAGGACACCAATTCTATTCAACTGCCCATGAACCTTCTCCAAAATAGACCCCAAGATTTGGAACAGAGCAGGCCTCAAGAAATTGAGCCAGCAGTGATATGCACAGACTTTCTATACACAATGGACAAGTGTAGAGAAAAAAAATCAGAGCAACAATCCCAGTCACAATGGGAAGAACAAAAATAAAATGCCTAAGTATAAACCTAACAAAGGAAATGAAAGAAGTCCTCACTGATAGCATTCAGCATTCAGAAATGAGGAAAATACCAAAGGAGAGTTTCAGAGAAAGAATAACACGTACTGATGAGGAAAACCCAATCCTTGGTTCACAGGACATGAAGTGTGAAGGACTAACATGAAGTGTGAAGTACTAGTGCACAGGACATCAAGTTTGAAGTACTAATGAGGCAAGACAGAAGGACAGGCAGAACTGACGGCACTGAACAGAAAGGAGTCCCAACCCCCAAGGCTGTGGAAGTCTTGCACCAGCTGAGAGGTAAGAATATTACAGTAGCAAAATTCACCATGAAGGCAGCCTCTGTAGAGTCAGTGCGGTCTTTATAGAGATTTATCAGTAATGATTGTAAAGTCACAATGAACGATGCTGAAGGACACAGCATGTGGCTTTACAGTTTATCCTCGCTCCTCATGGAGGCTGAAGAAGAGAAGGGGGGACCAGGTCCAGATGGATGAACTGATGGACTAGTGGAAGGCAAGTACTACAGGGCAGATGGACAACATAGGCTGAGTCAGCAGAGGAGACTGGGCCAAGCTAAGCTCCTGGGAGACAAGGAGGACTTCTCTCTCTGGGGATCCAGTGATACTCACACCAGGCCTGTGTGCAGGACAATAGAGGTGGAGAAAGATTAATATATGAGTGGTCAGAGGAAGAATGGAACCCCCAGCTTCTTTCCTGGGCTTGTACAAAACAAGCACTGCTGAGAAAATCCTGTGAGGTCTCCAGGTTGCAGCTGTGTAAACGACCTGTAAAGGATCAGAAGTCATGTGGTGTGAGGCTTTTGCACTTCAGACCTGTCCAGGCTGTTAGCCCACTTCTTCTCAGGGCTGTCTTTCTAGGCTGAAATAAACTGTTCCTGGGACTGTCCACCTGTCCCTCCTCTTGTTCTTTGTTCTGAAGCAAGAGAACCAGGAGGTTTCAGCATGGAGTATGAACCATACTTAAAGGAAGAGAGGCCATCTCCTCTCAATGTTAGATGTCCTGTTCACGTGGTCCAGGGGAGTGCTTTACACCCTTCCCTTTGACTGGTGTGAAGGAGACATTCCTGGGCTTGGTTTCCCTCATATGAACCTAATACATTCCTGTGTCTCCATTGTCCCAGTTCATTCCAGTTCATTTACCTGGTTTACTCACTCCCTTGAGTAAGTCGTTTACCAGACTGTGTTTCATGAACAGTGTTTACCTGTTTAAAAGTGCTGTTCTCTTGTCAACCTGAGTGCGGAGTCATCGTCCATTCTCAAAATAGATATGTTAGATACACATTTGATGTTTCAAGGAACTGACCACACAATCCAAAGTATTTGGGCAAGGTAAAACTCTTGCTTCTGCAGAGTGATGCATCTATGCTGCTCAAAGCCTGCAAGCAAGCACAGACAGAGAAGGTCCTGCTGGGTTTATTCCTAACAGGAAGGCCCTGTCTCCCTGTATGTGGTCAGAGCTCAGCCTCTCATTCTTTTGTAATTGGCTGACTCAAAGTGAGGGAGCCGAGAAGCAGAATGCAATTTTCAGCAGGGACTGCAGTCTGAAACATATTTGATTTCAAGAAGGGAGGATCATAGAGTTTGAATTTCTGTCAAGCAACTTATTTATCTGCTTTTTTAGGAGGTTGGTGTTTTTTGTTTTTGTTTTTATTGTCTTAATTAACCCTTTGATAGAACAGTTAGCACATTTCTTTGACATTTCCCACAGACTAGAATCTGCTTGTAAAATCGAGTTTGAAGAAAGAGTTCACACAACATAAAGTAATTTATGGCAGGGCACAGCCTGATCTCTATTGTCTCTAACTAAGTAGGTGTTCTCTTCAGGGCTTCTGTGACCTCCCTGTGCAGATATGAAAAGGTGAGTTGGATTGCTGTAGAATATTCTTCCAACAAGCTTCAGCATTCATGATCATGCTAACAGAGGGCTAACAGTCTGCACAGTTGACCTCTTTACCCAGCAGTCTCCCAAGTAAGATGATATTTGTAATTATGCATATTTTGTGCTGCTCCTTTGATTTAAAAAATGTTTTGTTTATTGTTTATTTGTTTGTTTTATTATTTATTTATTATTTACTACCTTTTCACATGTATGAATCTACTGACTGCAAGAGCAACCAGTGCTCCTATCCACTGAGCCGTCTCTCCAATCTTCTGATTTACTTTTTAATGCTTTTATGAATTTTTTTAGAGTTGCAAACAATGTGTTTTGACTATATTTAGATGCCTTTCCCCATGTCTACCCCACACTACAACCACCAAGCCCAACATCATGTTCTCTGTTATTACAGGTTTTGAAAGCAGTGTAATTTGTGTTCCCCAAATGTTCTCTGGTGTGGGTCTGTCCTTCAGAGACAACTTGCCCAGCATCTTTCCTCTTGTATTCTAAGTTGGATTTTTTTTTTCTAGAGAGAGAGTTGCCCCTGTTTCTATCTTCTTGAATAATGTAAGTAGTATTGGTTTTAGATATTCTTTTAATGTCTGGTAGAAATCTGCTGTGAGTCCATCTGGGCCTGGGATCTTTTTTAATGGGGAGATGTTGTACTTCTGCTCAGTTTCCTTACGTGTCATGGATATGCTGAGGCTGTTGCCCTCTCCTTGGTTTTATTTTGTTGGTTTCCATGAGTTTAGAAATTCATCCATTTCTTTTAGGTTTTCAAATTAGTAGCATATAGATTTTGGAACCATTCCCTTACGATGTTCTGCATCTTTCTGGTGTCTACTGTGATTTTTTTTCCCCTTTCATCTTTGATTTTATTTGGATTTGCTCTTTCTTTCTGTTGGTTGACTGGCCTTAGGCACTCGGAGCTATAATCTTCCCTCTTAGGATGGCTTCTAAAGCGTCCCAGAGACTTTGTTGTGCTGTATGATCATTTTCATCAGGTTCCAGGAACACTTATTTTAACCCTTCTTTGACACATTCATCACTCAGGAGTGTGCTGTTTAATCTCCTTGAGTTCATGTACCTATTAGAGCTTCTTTTGCTGTCAATTATAGGCTTTATTGTGCTGTGGTCTGATATGATGCATGGAATTATTTCAATTATTTTGTATTTTTGAGGCATATTTTGTGCCCTAGTATGTGGTCAATTTTAGAGAAACTTCCATGGGCTGCCGAGAAGAAACTGTATTCTGTAGTGCGTGGGTGGAAAATTCAGTAGACGTCTGTTAGGTCCATTTGATGTCTGGTATCATTTAACTCAGATGTCCCTCCATTTAGCCTTTGTCCACTTGACCTGCCTATTGAAGATATTGGGGAGTTTCCCTCACCTACTGTTACTGAGTTAGAGGACAGAAGAGGCTCTTGGATTCACTGGAACTGGAGTTATAGACAGTTAGCTGCCATGTGGGTGCTGGGATTCAAACCCCGGGCTTCTGCAAGAACAGTCAGTGTTCTTAACTGCTGAGCCATCTCTCCAGCCCCCTCTTCTGATTAGTTTTACTTTGAAGTCTATTTTGTCTGATATTAGAATTGCAACCCCTGCTTGTTTCTCAGTGTCATTTGCTTGGAATATATTTTTCATCTTTCCACTCTAAGGGAGTGTCTACCCTCGAAGGTGAGATGAGTTTCTTGCAGAAAAGAAACAGATTAATTTTCTTTTCTTTTTTCTTTTTTTGGGGGGGTTGTCTTTTTGAGACAGGGTCTCCCTGTAGCGCCAGCTGGCCTGAAACTCACTATGTAGACCAGGCTGGCCTTGACCACACAGAGATCTGCCAGCCTCTGCCTCCTAAGTGCTGGGATTAAAGGCATG